CCACATCTGGGACAAAATTTATGACTGTCTGGGGAGGCAGCTCTGAAGCTGCTCCCGGCTGCGCTATACGGCAAAGTGCTTTGATCCCGGCTGTTTGGCGTGGTAACCAAGCCTGCGGGCTGCTGAGAGGGGAGGGGGAAGGGATGGGAGGAGGGGAAGAGGAGGTAGTAAGTGCAAGAAGGGGAAAAGAGAGCGCCATGTTTGTAGATTAACATGAACTAGTTTGAATCTTCACATTACTCCATTCACATCCTCTCTTACCCGCCTCCTCCCACTCCCATCCACCTCCTACACATTCCAAAGTGGATTGGTCGAATAATCTACAATCCTGTCCTATGACTTCAGAGCACAGGAAGTCATTCTGATGGGCAAAACTTGCTCACCCGACAAATTGACATGCAACGCTCTCTCCTCCCTTCCTAAGCGCTTACAGAGGGCACGAAACCATGAATTAGTAAAAGTGGTACATTAAAACAGAGCAGAATGCGTAGATGATCACACGGCATGGGTTAAAAAGGCAACACCTTACCATCCAATCGGTTTGTACGTACCGCCTTCCTATAAGCACACTACTTCAAATGGAGGAGTGTGAAAATGGCATTGTGGCGCCCCAGAAGGCATCCACATGAAAATGGAAGTCATTTGACGCCTGAGGGGTGATGAAAAATTTGTCTCGTTGTAGTCCCATTTCATTTGCTTATCACATTTTGGCACTTTGTTCAGGTTTGTGACCAAATGTCTGCGAGAAGGCGTCAGCAAGCCCATTTTCCGACTGTTTTTTACTCGGTTTAGAAAGTCGAAGGGTTTATTAGTTGCTTGTCTGGTTAGTTCTGTCTTGTTGTACCTCCCGTAATTTATGACCCGCTGTTTTATTTCGGAAAAACCTGTAATTGACTTAGCACTACCACTCCAAGCTCTCCACATTGTAATAAACTCCACAAGCATTGAGGAAGATTTATTACCAACCAACAGAAATGCTGGAACCCCCACGTCATGGAGCGAAAGTACAGGGCACGGAGACCAAAGAGCTTGAGCAGTGGAACAAGGACTACCTTCCACCGTTTGATCAGACAACGAAACAAGCATCTATTTGGTAGCTTTTGATAAGAAAATTAGAGAGCTTCAAATTCTCCACCATAAAATTGCGAATACAAATGGGGTTAGGATTTTACTGCTTTACGCGATACAGACATTTTTGGAGGTTGAGAGAAGGCGGCACAAATGCTCCAACCTCCTGAGTGCTTGTGATGCCTTACAAGAAAGATTTTTAACAGCCGATTGGTGATCTCGATTTCTGATTGGCTCATTCCTGCTCCGCGCCTGATCGCCAGGATCGAGAGGAAAGGCTTTGGGCGTTTGGCAATGTATTTTGGGAAGAGTCATTTGAGTCGCCTTGACTACTCCCCAAAGGCCATATAAAAGCGTAAGGGTGTCAAAAAGGCACGAATTTACAGTTTACAAGGGGCAAAACGCCAATGGTATGGATAAGATGGAAAAATCGCATTTACTACAAAAGTTGCGAAGGCCATCACCATCTCAAAGGTAATATATTGTGTCATCACGCTTCTTCTCACGGGCACAACTTGCCAAGACGTGTATTTTACCTTCACCTACAAAGGAAGAACCAATAACAATAATTTGGGGAAATTACAAGTCAAAATTGTAGCTATAAACGGTCAAAGTAAAAGGTAGAAAGTTGGGCACCACTTTCCCACTCATCACCTCTCTCTGATAAGTATGGAGTTGCCCCACCTTTTGGTTTCATTCTAAAGCAAAAAAGGAACTCTTTGCCAGCCTACAGGGTGAGAGCGAGTTTGCAAAGGGTAAAATTGTTTTTTTTCGCCCAGCTATTGTATTTGCCAAAAAAGTGAGACACCGCACTTGGCAGGGTGCTGTCCACAAAGGCCAAACACACGCACACACGCATCCGCCCTGACAAGGGCGAGTGAATGATGTCCACAGTGGCCATTTCCAGAGCGCAGAAACTCTAAATGAGCCAATTGTGTAATTAAACAAGATCACTTTCCCATTCTTACCAGGGTTTTGTTTCATATTTACAAAATTGCTAACTCAAAAATGGTATGTGAAAGTGGTCTGTGGTAGAGGAATAAGTCTCCATAAATTCAGTCCAAGCAAATCAACCTTAGCAATGTGAGTTTTAAAGCATACCTATCAATACAAAAAACGTTTATAGCATGATCGATTCTCACTTGGCTTGATTAGGCGCCCAGATTAATCGTACTACTTATAACAAGGCAGTAGTTTAGTCCACAAGCCGCAATGCAATTTAAGAAATGCACTACAACGTTCATACAAAAGGCAAATACGAAAAAGAGCCTAATATATATATATATATATATGCTGCAAGGCTTAATTACTTCTTGAGGCATTTTAGACTGAAATGGCAGTTATGGTGACATTGACAGATTAGTCAGCATTGAAACAGTCAAAACAGACATTTAAGTTGGAGGCTCACTCACCCCACAGTCCAGAGGAAGTTGTTATTAAGATTTCAGTTGGTTGTTGACGCCTTCAGTTCACTTGAGACCCCAGTCAGTCACACATGGCCCAGGCTTACGGCCCCAAGAAGGCACCGAATGCTGCACAGCCTCGCAGGTGGCACTTAATTCTGGACAGGGTGCGGGACTGACACCAACGACACTGCCAAGAGTAGCTCCGCACAGAGATTGAATCCAAACTAATTTGCATCATTCAAAACCGTTTATGCCCCTGTAACAGGCTAGTAAAATGAGAAGATTAACATCAAAATAGATGGGTGTAAAATACATTCGAAAACTTACTCCATTTTTTTCCCACCATTAGGCGATGGTGGTAGAAGCAACTGAAGCAGAACTGAAGGCATCGCCCTCTTTCCCCTCTATCTCATTTCGTATTAGGAAGGAGCGCTCGAACCCACGGTTCTCAAAGCTGCCGACCGAAAAAAAAGGAAGTAAAATGGGTAAATAATTAAGACATTGTAAAACTACTTTCATGTGTAAAAGATTTTCGCTTCTCACAAAAATGTATTCATCAAAAGACGAGGAAAAATTAGCTCAGAATGGGCAGCTGGTAGCGCTAAGGGGAAGGGCAGAAGGAAAAGGGGTTGGGAGCTAAACCCACGTTCCTGGTCGCTTGATGCAGGGGTAGCGGGAGTCCGGACCAAATCCTAAGCGTGCTTTGAATTCTTTCGGTGCGTCTTAGGATCACTTTCGTTTCTTACTCTTAAATTTACTTTAGTTTCGAGCTTTTTTTTGTTAGAATTAATAGGACGAATAAAGAATTCAATTTAATGAATACCGTTTCCAACCTTTGATGTCTCAAATATTCGAAAAAAAGTCATCCCATTTTGCAAAAGGTGGACGATAACTGTAACACTGCTTATATTGCACAAGGTGGAAGGTGTACTGCAAATTACCAGTCAAATGACAATCGTCACTGTTGTGCAAAACAGTCATGTTGTTGACTGAATGAAAACGCATGACTTTGCACTTGACAACACGGCCACTTTGCCGGCTTTTTTAGACTACTGTCAGCGTTTTTTGGGTTAGTAAAACCGGCTTAAAATAGCATAAAGGTGAGTTTTCTTGCACCTCTACGATTAAAACCTCTCCTCCTTTCACCGCCGAAAAGTTGCGTGGATTTGGTGCCGTCTTGGAAGCGAAGGTGAGAGACAACAAAGAATCGCCTCTTTTCCCTTCATCATCAAGGCGCACTGAGTTGTCTTACGGCTAGAGGATGTTCTCTTTTGGCAAGGCTTAGTCGAGATCGATTTTATCGATTATTTGCCTCTCGCTTTGAGTCCTTTGGAGGCGAAGGTGGCGTATCGATTTTTGTGGTTCTGTTTAAAGGTGATTGAGCCATCCTCACATACATTAGGCTTCCATCGCCTTCAAACAACAACAACAAGGCACGCGCGCGCTATGGTCGTGTGTACTTTTGGACGCGACGACTACCACTTACCACGGCTGTCTGGCAAACCCTCTTCTGGTCTACCAAATGTCTGGCCAGACGGCTGAAGGGTTGTGAGAATTATTTGCTCAGGTCGGTACACCTAAGCCATTCCCTTTCCCGGCAGCAGTGAAGGCATCTAATTTTGAGGGAAAAATGTGGGACATATGGCATACCATTGATACAAGTGTGCATCGATGGCAGTCGGTTAAAGTAACAAGGAGGAGGCAGGAGAGGAGCAAAACAAGGCGACTTTCCGACGCAGTGGTGTAGAACACAATGAAAGGGATGCGGCCCGTTTCATCCTGTTTAATTTTTTTTGGCTAACAGAGCTTCTGAAAGGGTTCGAGTAATTCCCTATGGCCCATGGCAATTTTAATTTACCTCCCAAACAACAATTCGAGGCGTCCTCGCCATTGCATAGTGTTCCGATCCCAGCAATAATTGCTGTTTTGCATAAACAACCACCAACAAAGAAGTAGAAGGAGGATCTGAGCACCATAATCAACTCACAATGTTTGACGGCAGATTATTGGAAGGTGAAATATGGTGGACGACACTCAAGCCTAGGAAATGTGTCCTGAACCACTAACAAATGAAAGAGCCTTTGTTCAGCCCTCATTCGCCAAAGAGTGCGCAGAACTCGAATGGTGAAGGTTTGGGGTTAAGCATACAGACACGGAACAAGATGGATGAATATGGAAGAGAGGATCGTTTACGAAATGAATGAGTGCACATGGAAGAGATGCCGTATCCTCTCTAACTACACCGCCTTGGCTTTACTCCAGGCTCGCCTTCCACTTAACACCTAGTTTGCCCCTACGATTGAAAACACTTCTGGAAGAGCCACGCCCTTACTGCCCCAAAGGTTTGCTGATCCTTTACAGTGGTTGCCACGCTGCAGCACAGATCTCCTTCACACCTACACCACATCCGCGAAATGGCAGACAACCATTTAAAAAGTTTATTTTAACTACTAAAATATGGGGGTTTCCTGTGGACCGAGATGGTAGGCTGGAAGTGGATTTGATGAGTCAACTTGTAACACACCCTCACAGTCTGCCACAGTTCGTCTCCATCCATTCCTTGCACGTCGACGACTTCGAAACTCGTACTTATGCGCATAGCGACCCCTTCACGTGCAAGTAACACGAATGGACATGTCCGCAGCCTGTTTATCCCCAACCAGGAATACAAAGTGGATCACATCACAACTCTGACAGAAAGTAATTCCAACCTTTACTCAATCAAATGTCATGGGAGCTGTTTGGAGTTGGTGGAACTGGTGGTGGAATAAATACAAGAGAACGCACACACGCGAGAGAGAAAGAGAGAGTGAGTGAGTGAGTGAGTGAGAGACGGAAAATACACACAAACAGAAAAATAATGTCACATTTAAAATAGTCATTCCTTTTCTCCTTTCTGCTTCATTTTTACAATCGCCCTACAGAGGGCTTCTCACACCACAGCCATCGGAGTTGGGGCATCGTTGTGCGAGGGATGATGATTGTGGCTGTGATGACTTCGTTGATGATGATGACGAAATTCCGTCCCAGTTCTTGCCAAATTTATAATCTCAGCGTCCAAATCTTCGTCCTCTTCCTCCTCCCCACCTCCCACTACTGCATCCACATCCACGTCCTCCACTCCATCCAACTTTTCCACAATCCCCTCGTCTCTATGTCGAAGGCGTGGGAGACCTCCTGGAGACGGTTCATTAGTAATGGTGGCACTTCGATGGTCTCGCTGATGATAGCCGGTGGGTTCGGAGGCAACAAAGTACTCCTCAAAGTAAGCACACAGGTACTCAAAGGTAGGTCGACGCTCCGGAGTAGCGTCCCAGGTCTGAAGCATCACCTCGTAGACGCCCTCGGGACAGGCAGACGGACGAGGCATACGGTAACCGGAGCTCACTTGATTTAGAGTCTCCGTGTTGTTCATGGAGGGATAGGGCACCTGAACGTGGAGTAAAAGTAATGCAAAAGAGGGTTGTCAGTTCGCCCACCTATACATCCATCCGATCATGCCCCCAACCGCCCGTCCAATGATCCACCAACATCACATCTCACAACCTTCTCTCCAACGTTTGTCTGTTTCCCATTCCTCCAAACATATAGCTACCTGCCTTCTAATTCGCCCGCCTTTTCCTTATCCCTTCATCCAATCATCCATCCCTTCAACAATCAATCCATGCGACTCCTCATTCAGTCCTTTAATCGCAAATATCCCCTCCTACTCCACTACAAATGATTCAACTGATGGCTAAAAGTCATCGATACCTGTCCATGGGTGATAATCTCGTAGAGGACAATGCCAAAGGACCAGACATCCGACTTCACTGTGAAGCGACCCGAGAGTGCAGCCTCTGGGGCGGTCCACTTGATGGGTAACTTGGTGCCATTCTGTGCGACATACGTCTCATAGCGCTCCTCCACAACCATCCGCGCCAGTCCAAAGTCCGCGATCTTCACGGCGTTGTTCTCACCTACCAGAATGTTCCGTGCTGCTAGATCGCGGTGGATGTAGCGCTCGCGTTCTAGATAGGCCATTCCGCTAGCGATCTATTCCATGAAATCGAGATGATTGACCAAATCAGTGAATGAGACGCAAGGCAGAATAGAGAGGAGGTAAAAGACGAGGGACTCAATTTCGAGCCAGTAGGAATGGTGAACACAGAAGGTTCCGTTGAATGACCTCCAACCATTCCCAACTCATCACTCACCTGTATCAAAGGAAATTTCCCACCTCACTTGTACTTTCAACCACAGAGACCCTTCAGTGTCGGCAGATTTCGGTTACTGCCTTGGCAACATAATGTTTATGCCATGTTTTAACGCCTTCCCTTCCCAAGTCCAAAATGAGGGGAGTTAAAAGTGAACAAACTTTCATGAACGTAGCTATCAAGCCGCGCCACCATCAAGTCTACGTGTGGGCCAGATGATGACAACGATTAGACACACCGCACCATGTCCAGACACTGCATCGTGCTGAATTAAAACGGACCGAACCTCACACCACTGATGTGCGCCCAGACACACAAAACAGCTGTTCTGCCTCGTTGCTAGGTGCGCTCGCTTAGGGGAATTAGTTGGGGACACAAGAGGAAGACGAAAAGAAGGAGGAGGAGGAGGATTGTGCATTCTTTCCTTTTCAGTGGCCAGAAATACAACATTGACTAAAGAATGTGCATTTGGCTTTTCAACAAAGAAAATCACCTCGTTGGCAGGGGTGCATTAAACTGAAGCGAAAAAGAAAAAGCAGCCTTAGGAAACAAGAGGTGGACGAGGATAATGTGTTTGGCAGACTGTGCATCTCTCACTCACCTGTGCCATCATATCGATTAGCGGTCGGAGGGTGAGATGGCGTCCAGGACCATCACGAAGGTAGTAAAGGAGGCTACCATGAGGCATCAGCTCGGTGACAATGTAGATGGGATCCTCAACGCACACCGCGTAGAGTCGCACCAATCGTGGATGTCGGGCTGCTTTCATGATTCGTGCCTCTTTGAGGAACTCCTCCGTTGACATGGCACCCGGCTTTAGCATTTTTACCGCTACCTCCGTTGTTCCATTCCATGTGGCTGCAGGGAGTTGAAAAATGGCAACATCAAGTCCTGGACAGTGGCATTGCTGGTTGCTTATGACTCCAACAATTCTGCTCATCACTCCCCTTAATGGAATGATGGGAGAGAGCAGTATTATGGCATGACTTGAGACTAGGAGTGCCTCTCAGATGTCACAACGCCGTACCGACAAAAATCCAACCAGTCAGCTAATCAAGTGTCCGGAAAACAAACAGCTAACGCTAGTGCAGTCTGCCGAGAAATCAACATCCACCTGTCCAAACGCCGAAAATGGACTAAAGACGACAGTAAACTCAAACAGAGTTGTTAAAATCGAGGAGGGAAAAAAAAGCGAAGCGATAAGTGTCTGTAAACAGACGGAAAAAAAGACGACTAATTGTTTACCTTTGGAATTTGCAATACACAACCAGCCAAAGTCAGCAGAGTTAGGCGTCAACGATACTCAGGAACCACCTACGACGGGGCTCGGGGTGACCGAATGGCAGGCGCATGTCGATACAGGGATGGGAAACATGCTTTTGACACGTTTGACTCTCCAGGCTTTCGGTGCGTCACAAATGTGTGACACGTGTGCACCTCACTGCGTTGGCGTTAAACGCGGTGGATCCAATCGTGTCGCGGAGACCATGACTACGCCAAATGTGAACAAGGCACTCCAGACACACAAACTAAGGTCAGGTGAATGTGAGTTACCATCATTTGTAATGTGAAGACAATGAGGCTAAGTGCCATAGCAACCGCATGATAAACTGAGAGTCAACTTTCCAAGACCAGCAAAAAACTTGCTCACCAATGTGCGTACAGATTGGAGGTGCATTCCACTGAGATGAATCTAGAGAGGGTAATTAAAAGGCCGCTAACAAGGGGAAAAAAAACTGTGATCGAAGGTGGATGTCTGAACGAACTAAATGAAATTATGGAATAGACGAACAGAAAATAATGTCATCAGTGGTGGTTAACCTGCTTCAACCTGAACAAACAAACAAACGGAGGAGGGAAGAGGAGGGGGGGGGAGAGGGCGGTGCGTCAGCTGTCGGTGGTGTGTATGGGCGAGCGACTTGGAGTTGCGTATGGTTTGGCCTCCGCGTAGCCGCCCTCCCCTCGCCTGACTATCGTAGGGATATACCAAAGGCCACAGGCAGCTGACGAGAACATGTTATTGCCGGCATTGGTGGTTGTTATTGAAGGCGAAGGGATTCCAGACCGCTGAATGCAACATTTCAATACTATTTGAAGCGATTAGACAAGCCACTCCGACTGAAGAGATGGTATTGCGTCTTTTTTTTTGTTATAAAATGCATATCCAGCACAAGACTAAATCCACATCTAAAGACGAGTTGCGTGAGAATACCACGCCCAGGAGGGCAAGATAGACTAGTCAAGATGTGTAACTCCCACCCTCCCTCCCTTCCTACTCAACTGCTCAGTGAAGCAGTCTCGAAAACCACCCAGTTGGGAGTGAAGGCAGCAAAGTCCAGAAGACTGTGGACACAGTTGTTTCAGGAAGCAATTTCATGTGTACCAAAGACAATCTTATTGACGACATGGAGAGTCGCAATGAGTTGTAAATCCCGAAACTGATTGTATCTTTGCATACTAAAAACTATCAGTTTGCTTGAAGTGGGACTTCCGCAAAGAAAGCGACTAAAAATTGTCACCATTGTGAGGGTGATTCGATTAAAAGCACCGCTTCTTCATTCCACTTAGTGTATTTTAAGAGACTTCTTACTTTGGAGCGGCAGATCCTGAAAGCCTTCAGGGAAGGTGAAAATATAAAAAAAGCGGTGTAGGAAGAGTTCCAGCAAAACAATTGAAGGTACTCAACTATTAAAAGAAGGTGTAATGCAAAAGAAATGAATCTATCAGCAGTCCCTTTGGGGAATTAAGGCAGTTGATTCCACTAATGTAGACCAGTGGACAAGCTCGGGCAACCGAAAAACACACCTCTCATCTTCAACATTCCCGTCAAATCAGCGCTTGAAGAAGGAGCTTGTGAATGGACGAGCCTAGGCGAGGGGGAGGGGCGGGAGCGGGTTGGGATGGATTGGGTTCTGTTAGGTTAGACTGGACCGAAATTATTACCCATACCACCGCATCGTGTCACCCCGCACCTGTGCTGACTCACACCTCGGTTGACGGAGACGGTGATGCACACACACACACACAGAGGGCGAAATGAGAAGACGAGGGTGTGTGAGTGAAGGGGATGTTGCATGCGCTTCGCATGTTCGTTGCATGCCGATTGCATGCACGCACGCACATTGTGAGAGTTGGAGAGGCACGAGGGGTGCGATGCTATCGCCTCCTCCTCCTTCACTCGACATAATGCTGGAAAACAAACGACCCGCTAGTGGGAGGGGAAGGGGTGAAAGACACTCATTAAAATGCCTGAATCATGCGCCCCTTCTCGTTTTATCAGGCGCATCAGTTGGGTTTACCAACATTTCTCTGCCATTTACAAAGAATGGTCCGTCGTAAGGCCACTTTCATCCCAAAGCGGTTCCACACACTCTCCTTTTCAACTTTGTAATCACTGGAGGCGAGAAAAAAAAGCATCCCAATGGCACTTTTTTCGGACACACCTAAATGAACGTAATGTAACCGTGCAAAAGTACAGAAGTACCTTCAAATGGTAGGAAGAATTTTGTAGATGGTGTTGTTGTTTAAAAGGCGTAAAGACAGCGCATTTATAAATTCTGACACAAACATAATTCAGGCGCACCTCATCTATTTGCATCTCCCTTTCACTTTCACAGTGTTCACCCCTCCCACGACTGTTTACAACTTCCCTGACCACATTAAAAGTTCCAAAGGTCTAACATGAAGTCAACTACTACCAGTGGGGTATCAATGTCTGGTGGAGGGACCGACTGCAACCGACACGCCACAGGGTTGGCGTGTTGGGGGCGATTAAAATCGCCCCAACCACGTGGTCGGACTGCGTGATAAACGAGTTGCAGCCGTAGAGGTGGCACACAACTCCTGAGTCAGCCACACATGTGCATGCTTCGGGCTTGCTACTGTGCGACTCCTTTCCTCTCCCTCACTCCCTCGGCGTTGTGCACTTCGCCCCTCCCTCCTCCCGCAATGCTCCACCCCTCTATTTCGCCTGAGTCAGACTGACAACGTGGAAGAGGGCAAGAGGAGGAGGCAGAAGAGGAGAAAGGACAAAGAACATTTCCTGGGCTACTGTCGGAATGGACTTACTTGTAGAGTGAGGCGATAAGTCGGATTTGAAACACATTTCCTCCAACTCCGCAAAGCTGAGTAACCAAATTAGGCATCTGGAATAATTATTCACTGTGTGGAGGTATTGGGACTAAAGAGGCGTGTGTTTCTGACCGAGGAGGGAAAAAATGTGGTCTCGAAGTGGCCAGGTGGGTGCGATGAAACGTTTGCTCTCGAAATTCCACAACCACCCTCTACAGACTCTGCTAAATTTACAATTCAAAGAAAGCAACACCTTTGCATTAAGATGTGGGTCTGGGTGGGGTAAGTAAGTGACCCTCCGACCGATTGGCTGCTTGACTGACTCTCCGCTTTGGTGACTGATGGCTTTGAGGGGCTCCACCAGGAGGTCCCCTTACTTTGGCATCCCCGTAGCCTTTCGATACATTGTTCTAGCCATGAATTGTGTCTTCTCCCACCTACAATCTACCTTAAGGTCTACTCCTCAACATTAATCATCTCTAGAGGAGGGACAATAGAGGTCCAAACTTTACCTTTCGTTCAAATAATTAAGGCGACAAAATCAAGTACGTACAAACTTCACTGAGGGCAAATAAAAAGTGGGGAGGAGAGTGGGTGTGAATGAATCAGGCTCCTTAATAAATCCGTTTATTTTCTGTGATCTCACTCACCCGGCCGGGAGAGATAGCATCGGTCTCTCGCTTTTGCGCCTGAACTAAGTGCGGGTGTGTAAGCGTGCACAACGCGGTTGAAGTGGTTTTTACTTTTCTCTCCCTCACTTTTGCCCACCTCTCGCCATTTCTCAGAGTTGCCGTAGAGGTGGTCGGCGTTGTCGTTGAATATGCAAGTCAGCTGCTGTGCGGTATACAACAGTCTATCCGACCTTTTCTCCTCCTCCTCACACAAACAGACACACAGAAAAATAACTACCAAAGGTGTGGTTAATGAAGACTGAGGAAAGAAATGTTTCATTGTGGGCAAAGGCTGAAGTGTGAGGCGTCAGAAAAGTCGCGCTTCTTCAGATGGAATTTTCAACAGCAGAGAGAAGAAGCTGCGTAATTTCCAACGCCAACTGTACAGCCATGAAAGGGAGCCCAACAAGCTAACTCAAACAGTGAGATCGCTCAGACCTCCGACAAAACAGAGGCCCAAGGCCCAAATTTTGGAAGTTTTTCCCAAATCTACGACCGGACTTTGAGTTCTAACTTTAGGAAGGTCCCCTGAATGCTAATAACTTTCCTGTCGTCAGCCTGTTGTTATTCGACCTGAAAAAGAGTTTTCAAGATTCCTCACCCCTCCTCTCCTGGCCCATTCTAGGAGCCCAAAATCCTCGCCTTGAAGCGTTCACAGCTGAATCACAATTAAGTCAACCAACTGTTGAGGGGTCCACAGACAACCAATTTCTGTTCTCCTGCCCCATGCATGATGCAGGGCCAGTGTGGGGCACCAGTGTGCAATGCGGGGTGCGGTCACCGTGACGCATCTTCCACTCCTATTTTGGTATGCATAGAGGTAGTTTGTATGTGTGAGTCAAGGCGAAAAGCGGTGACTGGACAAAATGGTAAAGTAAATAAAAACAGATGCGCGGGAGCACGCAATGTGTGGGGTTTCCACCGCCTCCCCCATCGCCAAGGTGTATAAGACGGAAATAGGGAAAAGGGAAGCCGCGCAGAGGCCCTTATTGCACTGTTGGGATTACAGAATGAATCCAGCCTTTCTTGAGTGATCATGGAAGCCTGTCAACCTTTCACAGAAGTGATCGGAAATGCTGCTTTGCGGCCGAAATGCGGCAACCTGCCGATCACCCAGCAAAAGTGAAGTTGAACAGTTTTAAGCTCTCCCGTATTTGTAGGGAAGAAAAGCAATTTACTTCAATCCTAACTTACTGAACCTTGTACTCCCAAGGTATCGACGGTGCCCCGCCATGCCAAACCTGTTCCACATCATGACCAGTGACCCAGAGGAATTTGAGGGCACCCGATCACTACGCCCCTTCCGCACCAGATGACATGTTCCCCCTGAAGGCGCTTAAGTGCACTCAAAATGCCCATGAGGTGGAATGTAAGGACATGCGAAAGGGAAAGCACAGGTTTGTCCACCTTAATAGAACTTTCGTTGTGAAAGAATATCAGTCCAAAAAGTGTAAAAAGCGAATAACACTGCAAAACGCTCAAAGAAGGTGTCCAAGAATGCAAACACAGGGCGGCCGTCCTCAGATCAGAGTCTTGTAATGTGAAGGACGAGACGTCCTTTATCAAACACTGACGGGTCTTTCAAAGGCATTAAACCAATTTTACACCGGCTAAGATCAGATTGTCCCCATCAGCGGAAAGAGCTTTCATAACCTTACCACGACCTTCAGCATTGTGAAGTCGCCTCGGAGTCATTGGATTGCCAACAATGATGAAGCACAAATTTCGAAACTATTGACAGTCCTTTCAAGTGCCAAGCATTGAAGTGCATTAGGGCGTGAAACGTGTCCACTGTGGTGGTCATCCAACTAACCTCCTTATTTTGTCTGTTGCCCCGCAAAATGATTGCACACTTTGGACCATATTAATGATAGCATCAATTTCAGTTTTCACTTTCCTGTGATTGGGATACTGGGAGGAGAGGACACACCCCCCATCAACTAGCCAATCAACAGTGACTTCAGCTGAATGCTTCCATATTTCCGCTTTTCGAAACCAAGTAGTGCAATTGGTATTGACGATTGTAGAATGAACGGTTCTCGAGCATTTCTTGACACTGGAGAAGCAGACTCCCTCAGACACTTGGTGAAGTACGACGGCGACATACCGATTTGACCAATCCAGCTGAACCACTGTTTTGGATCCAGCTTAGGTCGGCCTTTCTGCTTCGACATGGCTCACGGGAAAAAAGTGAAATATGACGGTAGATCAATCCACTCAAAGTTACACCTCTTTTTGCTTTGATTGCCTCTACGCAGCTTGTACATTAGACTGAGCGAAAATAAAACGCGAAACACAAATCATTGAGTCGGCAGGGTAAAAGTCGGCCTTAAATGGGTATCTACAACTCAAATGGCTTTACGATCACGGAATCAATGAGCTCTCGCCCCGGAGTGGACTAAAACCACCACCACCACCACCACCAGCATCACAAGCAGCAAATTGCGCTCCATCCATCCACCCACCCGTCCAACCATCCAGTCAACCAAGCAACCGGCCGGCCGGCCGTAGTAGCAGCAGCAGCGGCAGCGGCAGCAGCTCAATTGTAGCGTTAGCCCAGTATCCAAAGCGTGTGTGCGTGCGCGAACGACCAACCGAACGAGCGAAAGTGTGGACATTACTCTTATCTCTCTACCTTCGTTAATGGGTGTATTTGGTGCTTGCGGCGCTCGCGTGTCAGATCAAATCACTTGCCACCGGCGCAAAACGAACCGAACCGAGGCAAAATGGAACGCAACAAAAGTTTATCACAGAATTATAAAAAACAAGTAACAATAAGTAAGGACTGAGAAGGTGGTGCTTTCTTCATTTTTCTACCATAAAGAGCTGTGCTGGATTCGTAATTTCCAGTTGGCGTGCTTGTAAACAAAACGAATGAGATATAGAATGGAGTTTGGAGGTGATTAGCGTGATTCAAAGACCGAAAAAGGTATTCGAAATTGAAATAACCCACAACTAAGAGACGACCGATGTTGAGATTGATGGGCACGAAGATCAAAGACGAGAAAATTGCAAGGAAATGAGTGGACAAGCACAGAAATGGTCAAGTGACCGAACTGGTGGATTCATGCAGTGGGTGTAAGAGGTCCTCGTCAAGGCGAAACGCACTACTACCTCCTCCAAAATCATAAAAAAAACGCTAACAATGAAGGAGTAGTCAAACTCGGAGAAAATGGGTGGGTGAATGGAGGTGTAGACGAGTGAATGAACACAGAAATGGATCAGAAGCAAGGGAATAGTTAAAGTGCGATTACGGATCCTATCAAAACCTCCACCAATTGACTAATAAAACCGCAATAAGCAACATCGATAAACTGAAATACCTTTCCAAACCTCTCCAAACTGCCCCGCACCAAGACGTTGCAACAGGGTGATGGAGGTTCGAGGGATCTCCCAGTGATCCTTTGTCTGCACAGAAAGGTCAGAAGTCAGGGGAGGAGGTCGAGGACAGGCACGAGTGAGGCGTCGACAAAGACCGTCTGCCTCTGCCGAGTAGTGCTCAACGAGATCACGCAAACTGGAGAAACCGCGTTTTGTAGAGATGTAGAAACCACCACCGCCACCACCGAACTGTTTCACACGGTAGTGCTTCACCGTGTCAGTGGCGTGCGAGGTGGCAGCGTCCACTTCGCGATCTCGGACAGACAAGGTCAGAGTGCCTGATGTGATGATCAAAAAAAGTAGAATTAGGTTTATCTTAGGTCCTCCAAAAAGTGGCAAGTTGCATTCGTCAAAAAAATTGAGAAATCTTCCTCTGTAACCAAATGTAAGGAAACTGACGCCAGCCTAACATAAACCTTGATGAATCGGACCTCCGCAGAAAGATTATTCTCCACCTCTGTTCACAATTTAAAGCCAAACATAAAAGTTTTGCAAGATTTTTTTCTGTCATCACTAAAACGTTCGCTCGAGATTGTACCAGCGCGAAAAGACAAAAGCGATTCAACAACACACAGATGTAGAACTCGCCTCAGATGCTGATCTCCGGGGAAATTACTACAGTTTTGGGGGAAATGCCATCAGGCATTTCTCAATCAGAAGCAAAGTATTCCTTTCGTGATGTCCCAAGGGGCGACTGTCTAGCTTTTGGCGACAAACAACTCGGGTGGCCGTCTAACTCACCAACAACTGGAGCCTAAAGATCAGTCATTCCATTTTCGGCCCTGCCCTATCGTGACTGGCTATCACCTTTCATCACTGGAATGCAACCGAAGTCAAGCCAAATGCTTGTTTTGCAGAACCGTTTACCCCGAGACCTGAGAATTTGCTAGCCCTTCGCCGGGCCTAAGGTGGATTTACAACTTCTGCAGCTCCACATTCCAAGACACCTGATCCTCTATCCCATAGGGTGCGGAGCCAGCTTATGCCACTGTCTACGCCTGGCCTCGGAGAAGGCACGATATTTCGGACAACCGCCAACAGAGGCCACTGCCAACTCGCAAAATATGGAGTGGATTTCAAGTGCTCAACTTGATACCCACGCAAAACGCAGCGTTGATGGCTTTCAATTTCTTCTTTCCAACAGTTCTGAAAGTCACTTTTGTGTAGACTCTCCGAAGCCGCTTACCTGCACTTTCTTGTAGCTGTGACGGAACAGTTCGACGCAACGAGTGAAGACATGAAGGAAAGGAGGCGCTCGCCGGAGCGGAATCAAGGAATGACAGCCGTTTTAGTGCGGACTTCCCCAGTGAAACCTGTTCAACCCTTGAAAGTCGCTCCAATCTGAGTTAGTGGTAAAAGTGGCAATGCAGTAGCATTGATAAAGAAGGAAACAAGGTGCCATAGCAACTTCAAAGGATAATCAGTCAATATAGTCCTCAGGGGAAGGTTTCCTGCTCTCAAATACCTCCAGATTAGGACCAGTTGATGCCCACACATCTGTTCAGTCCAGACCAGTACCGTTGCAGCACAATTCAACGCAAACAGTTGTCACAATCTGACGAGAAACACATGACAGGCATGTGACACAATCCCAGTCAACTTGTCAACCAACCTGATTTGACAGATGGACTGGCCATGGAACCAAGACAAAGGTCAAACATGGACATGTGGTGTAGGACAGCATTTCGCAAAACCAATCCCAGACCACTAAGTTCGCCAGTATTTCAAGCGGCCGCCTGAGCCTGTTGAGCTGGCATTCAGCGTGTCCGCCTGGATTACCAACAGCGAGGCGAACATGTGCACACCTAGGCTACCAGGCTGCCACCTCCTTATTGTGGTAGCCCTTCCATGCATGTCTGCAAGTAGACACAAAAACAAATGTCAACGACATCTCCTTCTCCACACTCCTTCCCTTTAGCTAGCTCTCTCCCTCTCTCTCTCTTTAGTCAACGCCCTAATTTTTCACTTCCTGCTCTGGCGCTGGGCCAAAATTGGAGCTCCCATTCAACGCCAAGGCTACACCTGCACACCATCTTCCAGGCTAAGTAGGCTCAATGAGAGTTCAATAAAACCTTCATGCCCTGTAACAACCTGAAAAGCGATCAGCCCAAGATCTGGAGGCCTGATCCGATCATTAGTCGGAGATTTGTGATTCGGAGCTGAAACGGTATCTCCTGGCGTTCAAAAGTAGGACCCCAATAAATAGGTCATACATCAGCGGCAAAGCAAACCCAATCAGTTGAAGTTTAAGCTTCAGTTCATAAATTCTGACTTGCTGCTTTGGAGAAAACAACGCCCAAGTCATTTCAGGCCTCCTTTAGACAGAGAATGATGGTTGCGACGATAAATCAAGTAATCACGAAATCATACGACTGACTGTCTGGCTGAATGAAAGCAGGGTTGGGTGCCCAACCCACCAAGGCGAGAACTCAGTCTACAGAGGGCGACAGCGGCGGCGGCGGCGGCGGCGGCGGCGACGGCAGTGGCAATAACACCACCACTTCTCCGCTCTCGCTAAGGGGATGGAGGGGTAGTACTAGCAGCAGTCGGTCGTTAATTCTGTTTTTACCCCACCTCATGCCTCTCATTGCCCTTCTGTTCCCTTCACCCACCCACCCGCCCGCCTGGCTAGTTGCCAAGACAGGCCAGAGGGTGTCGGACGTGTTTGAAAAAACAAAGTGAGACAGTATAGCAGGACAATAACATTAGGAAGAACCACCTTGACGGCGGTAAATGAGGAGATATTGTCGCAACTGTCCAACTGTTCGCGCAATGAAGTAGCTTTGGAGATGCCTATAGACCAAGTCAGAATATCAAAAGAAGAAATCGTCAATCAGTCTTCCTTGTATGCGCATAGTCGAAAGCTACAATCTAAGGTGAGACCTCAATCTTGAAGTGGTGTGCTATCGCAATGGGAGGTAAATCAAACGACTTCCTAGAGCCTGTTGAAGGAGTAGTTGAAACGCACTGCGTAAAAAAATGAAAAACCCTGGAAAATGGACGTTTTCAGAGATATTCACGCAAGAGGAGCCGATGAGAGTTGGTGCCATAGTCGTGACAAGACGGTCCTCTGATAACCCCGGTCATGCCACCGGACTCACCGTCACCACTGTTACCGACGCGGAAGACGCTGAGGTGCCGCCTCGGTGACAGCATTGGTAAATCCACATCCAAAGAACATCAGTAATCCTATCCCCGTACAAATGTATAGTAAACGCAAAGGTTGCGGAGTGAATGAAAAAACTGCATCCACATTTGTGACTACCTCGGGCCCTGATAAGGTGAATCGTGGTTGCTAAATAAAAGAATTGTGAGGGCGAGGTAAAAACTTCCCACGTCCTCGCGATGCAGGAAGCAGAAACTGAACTAAACAGAATACTGGAAGATATTAAAAGGAGTGAAACAACGTCCTCTCCATGCTGCAAGTGTTGCAGAACCCCTCCCACTGACGGTGATAAAACCTCTACTCAAATAGCGGGTTTGGGGAGGCTTGGAGCGACTTCTAGGGGAGAAAATAAGCTCCAACACAAGACAGATGGGGAACAACCTCGGCGACATCAGAGCCGTCACTACCGGCAGCAGTAGGAGCAACCAAAACAACAACAGCAATTAAGCTGACTTGGCTGGACTCATGTTTCGGGATGGTGAACGGGGAGCAACTGCGCCCAATGAAATGGCAGCACCGGACGGAAGAACACTCACTCGATGATTTAATAGAACGTTGGATTATCTCAATAGTAAACAAAACTGCAGAACTGGAACAAAGACGGCAGTTTGCTGATGGCGAGAAATGGGGATTAGGAGGTGCCTCAGAACCTAAGCTAACTCCAAGAATGGAATCACCTCCTCCTCCGTCTTTCAAATGCTTTGCATTCAACTTCTAGAACCAAGTCAAGAATTTTAGTGCCTCCATTACCGATCGTCAATGACTTGTTCTGAAAGTAATCAGTCGGTTGTTTGCTTGGAACAGTCCACATTGAAGGCAAGACCGAGGTGTTTTCTCATGCCATTTCGAATCTTTTCTTACGAAAACTTCATTAAACTGTTGTCCAGAGGCCTTTCACCAGTCACAGCATCATTAAATCTACTTGAGAGGATGAAGGGGCAGTAGTTATTCGACCGAGCACAATTCGCAGAATTAGGAAGCAGTACTCCACCCCACAAGGACGCTTTGCAAACCCAAAAGGAACGCGTCTACATGGACGAGGTCAAGGGTTTGCATTTGACCGCAGCGTTGGTCTCAGGGGAACTGAGTGCTGTCACCACGCTGACAACCACAACTACGTCTATGGGAAAATGAAGGAGGAAGTGCAGGACAAAATCACTGCGACAGAAAGCTGATTTCACAAGCCAAACCCCCTCAAGTACACTTGCATGACGACTACTACTGGAGGAGGAAGAAAATTGCAAGTTCTACCAAATCGTAGGCGTAGCTCCATTCTTTCTCGCTATTAACTAGGTCAATGAAGTGGATCACGAAATGCAGTCAAAAGTGGAAAGAAAAAGGAACACAGGTGGGAAGGAGGAAGAATGGTCAAACAGAATGTCATCGATGCTGGGCGTAGGCTTGCAGAGACGGAGTGGTGTGAGTAACAAGAAGGGAAAAATAAGGGATTGCCGAGGGTAGTGGACCTGTTGCCGCCTCCATATCCCTTAAATAGGCGCCTCCCAAAATGACATGTCGGAAATGATCTAATTGTGGGAATGGCCTTTTACCGGAGACACGCACACGCCCACGCATACCTGCAAACAGGCCTAGGAGGATGCTGAGGTGAGTTGGTTACGTACGTGGCCTGCCCTCTCTCTCTCTCTCACACTCTCTGGCCTGCGCCTGTCCATCCACCGCCGCGCAACACGAGGGCAACACATAGACAAGCAACTTACTAGTCAACCGGCTGCCGACCAATAGAAGAGTAGAGGCGTGGACGCACCCACGCGTGTACGCGCAGGCACATTGAAAGTGATTTGGCCGATGGCCAAAATTGCAAATAAACAGGAACATACGCACGTGTATGTGCGGGTGTGTTTGAATGTTTAGAAGCATGTGCGCTGATGTCATCACCATTACTACCCCAAATGACTTTTATCTCGGCTAACTCAACGGGGTGGCGGAGTAAGTGTGCAGTGGGGTAAATTGGGGAGACGCAGGGGGAAGGAGAGCGGTAGAGGAGATGCTAATTTGCGGCATGAACACTAGACGATGCGAGGCGGTCGGAAAAAAGAGACTGATTGAGGAGGAGAGAAGATTGGCATTAGAGGAGGGAGAGGAACGAAGGGGCGGAGGAGGAAGCATTTGCCAAAGGCACACAGTCTGAGATCGGTAATAAGGGGAAAGAGGAACAAGGGAGAGTGGCGGTGGTCGAATATGGATAGGTAAGTATTCAGCCTAGACAGAGGTTTATAAGATATTAATAGAGGAAAAACAGGACGTGGTTGAGAAGAAGTGGTTCTAGGAAATGACGCGGACAGAAAATTGTTAATGACTCTAAGCAAACTCGTGATCCTTATTGTAAGATGGATTTGAGGGATGCTTCCAGCTCTTGACCCACATTTGACGTCTCTCCAAGGATCACTTCATTAATTCAAAGCCCGAATGATAAATTTCAACGATTTTGGATGACCTAAGGCTTCAGGACCAAGGCTTGACGGACTGTTCGTCTTCCACTCTAAGCGGGATAAAGTACAGAGCGTGGCGAGGTGAGGAAGGGAAGAGGAGATGCCGATCTCTGCCACTGACGCCGCAGGACACTGACAGCAGTTAGCCGGTGTGAGAAAGAAGTTGAACTCGAGAAGGATTACTCACGCATCGAAAATCAAAAATTTGAGATTTAATAAAGAAAAATACGGATCGGAGATGTAGCACGGACTGTTGCACCGCCGTGCCTCTACAGCAGAACCGACAGGAGAGAATTCCACGAAATGGTGCTGAAGCTGAATCTTCAACCCAAAACCAACTGCGCCATCAAACCAATCCCCTAAGAATGCGCCAGATCGAAGCATTTGGAGCCAAGTGTAGCACATGGTGGCAACAATGTCTTGAGCATAATCTTTCCATTTTGATGAGGGTGGTAGATCACCACCATCAAAACGCAAACTTGGAGATGAAGCTCAAAAAGCATTGACATTGTCCAGTAGTTTCCAAAAGGAGCGGATTGGGATTCTCTTTTTACTTCCTGCTCCCGAGCGAGGAGTAAAAGTGGGGAAAGGTACTTAAATCGCCATTATTCCCGCCGTAATTCATCCCGCGCACTCGTGGCGCTGTCATAAATGACCAGACGGTAGACAATGACCGGTCAATTCAGAGGCGGAGGCGGGAGTTTGGTTGGACGAATGAAGGGTGAAGAAGACTACACAGATCGGATGCAAGATAATGATAAACATCGGGATGAAGAGATGCAATAGACGCGTCATCTTTTCCCCAAACAAAACTAGTCCTTCGGTGAATTGATAAATAGCTTTTGAAATTGAAGATCGTTTACCAATGTTTTCGAGACGAGGGAGACTCGTTTTGCCTTTTTCTTCAATTAAAAGCAGAAGGTGACAGCGTGGCCTTAAGTGCTGCGAGCGGACTTCCAATCAACCCTCTGCCTCGGTAAGACGCGACGCGGCACGGCAGCGTCCTCCTCGCCTAGAAGAATCGAAGCCCCGCGGAGAGGGGTGTTAAAAGATGGGTGCTGACAAAGTACCAGTTGGCTTTAAGCAGAATCGGGATGAGAACAAGCGACCTGTCATAGAAGCGCACGAATGTCAGCACAACAGCAGCCTTTCAACGACAGTTTGGGAAAGGGTGAACGCTTCAATTGGGAAGCGCATTGGTATTGAAGACAACGGACAAAGTCGACACACAACTGGTAAGCCGAATTCCCGCATCAAAATGAGGCTGGCAGAGGGGAGAAGCTGGACACAAGATTTGGTCCCGATCCACCAGTGGGCGAAGGAAACTTAACTTGGAGGCTGCTGATGAGGTGGAAAAGTTTCCAAGTGACACTTCCGACATATCCAAGCAGCGGCTTGGGCTTGCAAGGACTAGAAGCACCCCGCCTTTGTGTTTCCGGTGTGCGGGATGACCTAGACCGTGCCAGGAAACTACCCCAACTGTTCTACACGCCGGTAGTACATGATCAGCCCCTACACAATGTCCGGTTTCGACCCCAGAGCAGTATCAAAGCGCTACAATGGTGGTAGCAGAAAGCAACCTCAACTCCAAGTGACAGCCATTCTCTTTTTCATTGCTGTGTAATAGAGCTTTGCAAAAATCGGTGACGACCCGCTGGAGAAGAAAGAGGATATTAAAAATGCGAACGCAGAAAACATTTTTGACCTCCCGAGCGCCTGGACGAAGCCCAGATGGACATGACGAGGCAGCATTGAAGGGAACCAAGTGACAACGAGGGGTACTCACGAAACTGTGTTAAATCCCGTGGAGAGTTGCATGGCTCTGCTTTTGAGTCAGTGTTCCTAAATCTAGCGATAGGCATGCTTGATGGCTAGCGGATTCCCCTGTACCAGATATCACCTCGTCTGGACTCAACTTCAACAACTAAAGCGAAGGGTTAGTGGGTGTCAGTTTTTCGTTTTGAAGCATCAACTGTTTTGCAGTGGTCGGCGCCGGAAGCTGACCAAAGGGAGCGCCAGAACAAGCCTCAAAAGGGGAGAAGGGAAGCTATGCTTTAAAAGCATAACCTTGGCATAGCCATCAAGCCATGTCAGTAGTTCTTCCCTCCTTCCTCCTCCCCCTCCAAGCCTTTTGTACGTCAACAAAACATGCTCTGCCTAAAGTATTGCTTTCTTGCATCGTCCGGGAAGTCCCGGAGAGCTATACGACAACCTGGACGATGCTGGATGGATGCGTTTTTAAGCACGAATGAATGAAAGAGATCGCACGGGATAAATGGGACTCATCAACACCTCATAAGTCTTGGCAGCAATAAATACTGCCACAAGAGTGTAGACAACTACACAAACAAGCAGCAGAGACTTTTTTGGGACAAAATTGCAAAGTTCCATAATGCGTACACCTTCTTTAATTAACTTTGTATCTGCTGCAAGCAAAATGTCGAACTTCTTTTTAAGAAAGTGAAAAGACACGCAAGAAACGAGGCCAATTCCAAGCATATGTAAGATTTAGGCAAGAACGAGAAAATAAAAGATCCTTGGAACCGAATTTAGCACTGCTAATCCAAACCAACCACTTCGATCAAAAAAAGCAACAGGAATCAATAGACACGACCTAAAAGAGCACATTCCAATGCATGTAGCAGAAATGACAAAAGTCAACAGACGTCCTCTTCCATCAACGCAACAACTGACATTCTCCAATGACAGCAAGAAGTCGTCAGATAAAAGTCCACACCACAGGGACGATGACAGGTAAAGTAATGAGAAAAAAGTCCAAAAACTGTACGATTGTGCATGGATGTAGTCAAAATGCACAATTCTCGGTACTTTTTTATAAGCAAGGAAATCCACCAATAAGAAGCTGAGAAAAGCCCACTGACTCATTCGCCCCATGCGTGCGTGCGTGCGTGCGTGTGCGCCGGCTCGAAGGCGTACAAGAGGCGGTTACTAAATTTGCCCAAGTGCCGCTTATCGGACACGTAAAATCGTGGCTGCTCCTCCCCTCCGCCTCACCGAGGAGGAGGAACCGTCTTTTTACACAGTAGTTATGGTAGAAAAGATTTTTTTGCCTCTAGAAAACTACGTGCATGGAGTCCATGAGTTGGTCATCAGTGGCGAAAGAAAGTTGCTTTTTATCCTTGGACAGGTAAATACCAGTCAATTAATAAGTTGAAAGACGACTTCAACACCTTCAAAATTATGCACTAATAAAAGTGAAGTCCAAAAGAACCGACCTCCTGACTTGCACGGACCTACGTAATTGGATGGTGGGCAAGGTGTGAATTGCAAAGGCTCAATTCACCTTACCGAATGCCATACGGACGGTAAAGATGATGACTTTTCAGGTGTAAAAAAATTATGAGTAGTTTTGGGGTAGTCAGTTCAATGGATAGAGGTAATCTTGTAAGAAGACTTAAACAAGATCCATTACTCCTTTCCGTCCTCCTCGCCCTCCTCTATCTCCATCTCCCGCCAATTACTTCCAAAGCCCCTTCTTACTTCCTCATGGGAGAGGAGGTTAGAAGGACCCAACTCTAGGAGAAGGGACTTAATCGCTCCAATGAAGAAGAAAATTAATTTGTTCCCCCACAGGGGATGGTGTACCTCACTCGACACCGGTTACAGGCAACTGGTGACACGGTGACATCGCCCACCAGACCGAGAAGACAATGGCATGAGAAGGCCCTCCTTCCCAACATTCACAGGCAAACGACCTTTGAGAATGAGAGGAGAGGTCCAAATGAAGCACCTAATACGTTTTTATGCAACCCCAAATTCCGCTTTTTCCTACACTTTTTACAGAAATGTCCCTAGGTTGCACAAATCAAGGCCTTATTGCTAAAGCGAAGAGAAGCAGACGAGATCAACAGATTTCCAGGGCCTGTTCTGTCAAGCTGTGACTACTCAAGTGCCTCCAAGGACCTCCTTCAGCACTTCTCAATGATAAACCAAATGACAAGACAAAGCAGACCTTCTACTTGGCTTGAAAAGGATCACGAGAGTTGGGTAGTTGAAAAGGTTCCTCATAAACGTATCACCTAAGATTCGTTCCTGAGAGCTCCTCAACAAGGCGTGAAAGCATGAATGAGTGTCCCAAATGAGACTCACCCTGAGCCGTTTCACTGTTGCGAATCATGAAGGTGCCCGGAGTGTTGCTGTTTAACAGAAGAAGACGTTCAGAGTCCTTCCGCGAGATTCTTGGTATGTACCACCTGAAGGAGAATAAAGGAGTGAAGTTAGTCGGACTCGACCTCGTTTGTGGAGTTGCAAATGAGAATTGGAAGGTTTCGAAACTAGAAGACACTCCATCCCAAAGTCTAGCTGCCACTCTGAAGCCGCCTTTCCAGAGAGGCTGCGGAGCAGTGGGGAAAGATGAAAGAGGAGATGGAATAAAGATTCAAAGGTCAAGAGTGGGGTGCGACTAAGTGAAGGGAGGTTCCAGGATTCCCGCAATACAAATGCCACCTTAAAGTTTCCGCAAACCTGTCCAAAAATGCCAAGCATAGCATATCAGTAGGAGGCTGTTGGACAGGTTAATGACCTTCAAATGGGTATCTTAAGAAGTGGAAGTCTGTGGCCTCGACTAGCAAAGGATTTCTGCACTAGCACATCTTGAGTGGGAAAGACGAAAAGAAGATGCAATTTGGGAACTGTGAACATCCCATGAAGGCGAGGCAGAACGGAAGTGCTTCGAGAAGATGGAGAAGCTCGAAGGTGGTCACAGGAGTGGTAAAATGGGGACGGAACGCCTCGCACGTCCAAAGAATTCCATACAGGGAGAGGCAAAATGAAGGATCTCAAACATGAGCCGAGGGAGCGAGGGAGGACATGTCATGGGGATTGAATGCAAAGGTTTTGATTCTTCTACGTCTCGAGCCTCGCCACCAGATAACAGGTCAAGTAAATAGCAGACAGGCATGGACGTCTGTGTCCAGCATTTAATCATCTGCACACTGCGCAGCCTTCAGAAGTGAGGTTGATGAAATGCCCCAATACAGTCAGGATGTCGCATTAAGAAAGTTGTCGGCCAATCCGGAGGTCAAAACTACCTCATGGAAATGTTTCAGATGGGAAGAATGAAAACGAGGGAGGAACAAATGAGAGAGGTTTTCAGGACTTACTCCTCCGCCTCCAGAGAACCTGCTACAGCGACGTACGAGGACGGAACGTAGCCCTTCTCGGAGGTTCTGCAGTGCTCCACGAACCACCACTCGGCGTCACTAAAGGGACCACAAAGAACTCACTTGAGAGGCTTCGGAGCAGCATAAATCGTGGCTTAGGTGTAACTGTCTACCTTTGAAAAGGAAGACACCGAATGAGGCAGGAGGAAAAGGGAAAGAGAAAGCCCCTATTTCCCCTTTCTGAGAGGTGTGACTGTTCGAAACAATCAGTTCTGACGAGCCTTATTTCCCCACTCTACGACGAATTCACTTCACCATAAAAGTGAACATGTCCACGGTGTTCCAAGGGAATTTTTCCATTAAAAATAAAAAGGAAACCAACGCTGTGCAGGACCAGCAGAACGTCAGGGATTCAAGCAAACCTTCCATTGTTGTTCGGCAAATGGCAAAAAAATTGTTGAGTATTCAATTCCGGAGGTGGTATGAGGCCCAGAGGGGGTTTTGTTATGAGATCTAGGTGCAAAATCTCGTCTCTAGCCTCGCCCTTGAAGGAATGGGG